TAAAGATAATTAGTGAACTGGATGGTTTGTTTTAAACAGGTTGAGAGCCTCTTCTGAGTTCCATATTCTTTTCAGTTGATTGTAAACAGTTTCTGTTGTATTAGTGCCATTCCCCAGGAATAAATGTAAAAACTTGTAGTATAAACTTTTTCCAAACAAGATTTGGGTATCTTCTGAATGTGTTTGACACATTTAGTGATGCAGTCTCTCTAACTGATTCATCTTTAATGTGTAATTCTAAGCTGATATCCATTTAAATAAAAATGTATAGCTAATAGGGCTTGAAGGCCTGAGGCAGCCTCCTCATCTGAGTTGCCATTTCTAGCCATCCAAGTCTGACAACAAATGTGAAATATTTAGAATTGTTACATTTGCAGGAAGCTCTGTGTAGTATAGCTAACTTTTTGTAGAGCTTTAAATGCCTTTATTCAAAATTATATCACTTGACTTTTGAAAATGAATAGTAATGGTTGTTTTAGCAGAGAGACATATGATACTTACCTCTTAATCACTGTCATTCCAATGATCTGTAATAAAATTGTGTTTGGTCTGAGAAGAGGGGGGAAACCTGAAGTCTACTCTTAAGACATTAGAAGACAGTTCGCTGAAGCTGATCTCAAGATTTGTTTTTTCTTTACAAGGTTTTACTCAGCTTTGGGAATTCTGGAGGCAGAGGGAAAAGGACCAATAAAGAAGTATTCAGTATTGACTTAAGTTAATTTTTTTTGAGTTATCAGATGACATTTTTTAAAAAAGTAAATGCTGTCACAATGTGGAAGAAAGTTACTGACATTACAGCTTTGCTTGCAGCGCAGCCATGTTGTGAGGCTTAAAGTGAACTCTGCCTACTAGGATCCCAGGAAGAAAGAGAGAAACGACTATTTAGGCTACATCTACGCTAAAGCGAAGATTGAAGCTCTGAGATTGATCCACCGGCGGTCAATTTAACAGGTCTAGTGAAGACCTGCCAAGTTGACTGCAGATCACTCTTCAGTTGACCCCTGTACTCTATGCCTGACAAGAAGAGTAGGGTAAGTCAATGGGAGAGTTTCTCCATCAAAAATTTGACCTAAGATACATCAACTCCAGCTATGTTAATCATGCAGCTGGAGTTGCATACCTTAGGTCAACTCTCTGTGGTAGTGTAGACATAAGCTCAGTATATACCTCAATCTGTCTAGAAGCTATGATGTAGTTTTATCCCACAAGAGGGTTTCAGAAGGATCACTAAGACACTCCTCCAAAGAGCCACTAAGCATTGTTAGTTTTGATACTTATGGGCTAAGCTTTTTCCCTTAAAACAATTCCCTGTGCTGATGAATTCTTAAATTCCCTTCAATTTAAAAAATGTCTGTGCTGATGTAGCCTGCTACTACTGACTGCAGACAGAGGATGTGTGATAGAAGGCTGCATAACTCGGAATCTAGTAAGAGCAGGTACAACTCTTAAGTTTACTTTTGACCATTACTTGTCCTTTTTGCAGATGAATAATTTAGTAATGAAATAAAAGCCAGTAATTTGGGGACATTAGCGTTTTGTATGGCCCTGTTTTAATACTTGTGTTCATGTATGTTTAATGTCAGTTTTTAGGACACTGATCTATATTGAGCTTACATTAAAAATGAAGAGGTGCGATACAAAGTTAGCTTTTAACTCCCTCTCCCTGAAGTTTGGTTTGGATGAAAGTTTGTTGGCTGTAACTGAACTGTTCTTTCCAGAAGAGAAGCGTGAGCTACTGGGCTAGACTTTTAAGGTTTGCCATTCATTATACATTTGCCAGTCTTGGTACATTTATTCCTTTGTGTTGTGTATTAACCCTTTAAGTATCGCTCAAGTGCAAACCCAACAGTTTATATGTGCTGTTTCAGAAGTATATGCACTGCAGTTTAACAGGCTGTTAAAAGTACTGAAAGATTACACAAGATTTAATGCTCACGTTCATTGTGACTTTTGGCTTAATCATAAACCAGTGAGGTTATAAGGTACATATTCACAGATTTAAGATTTTATTTGTCCTAGATTAATATTCGGAGAAGAATTGCTATAGTATGCATAATAGCAGTGTGTGGTGTATTGTTACATCCACCCATTCACCCCAGTATTTGCTTTTTCATGTTGCAAAAAGTGTTGACTTACTGATGGTGTATATAGTAGGATAGCATTCTTACTCGTGGCTGAAGCAGATCTATAACTTGCAATTGCAGAAACAGTTGAACTTTGGGCTTGGAAGTATTTTAGAGCCTCACTGTTCGTAGTTCAGCACATTATAGGAGTTGCTGGAAAGTTATTTTAAATATTTTGCCTACTGTAGTTTACTTGTAAAACCCAACCAGAGACAGATCTCTCTTGTTTGAATGCTAACTGGGCAGAATAAATTGTGACTGTTTTCCAAGTTCATATAGGTCTTGCACACAGTAAGGATGTTAAGTAGTTGATAGGGCACCTCTGCCTTTGAAGTGGGCTCCTCACAGAGTTTCAAATTGGCAGCGCTGCGTGGTGCCTGGGGTCAGCAGGGTTGTCTCCAGCTGATCCTGGGCTCCACACTGCACTGCCAATTTGAAACGTCGTGTGTAACCTGGGAGACACCCCAGCTGGCCCTGGGCTGCACGTGGCATTTCAAAGCGTCAGCGCCATGTGGAGTCCGGGGTCTGGCCCCTGGCTTTAAGTGGTGCTGCCTCTTTGATGTACCCCTTCCTTTCTCCCCCACTTCCCCCCCCCCTCGGGGGGGGGAGGGAAGTGGGGGGAGTGACTAGTCGACTAGTCCTTCACATCCCTAGCACACAGCAGGGGTAGAATCTTTGTTACAAAATGTGCTAGAAGAGTTATTTTCTTTTTAAATATCACAGCAAACTTAAAGGCATATGCTGTACTTGAAACTACTAACTGATAAACTGAATGTTTCCTTTTAAAGTAGGAGGACTAAATCTTAGCCCTATTAAATTAGTAGAAAGCATGTCTTTGGAGAGTTGGAGACAAGAATTTGGCCTGATGAAAAGAGAACTAGAACAGCCTTAATTAAATCATTACTTGATGGGGAACTACATAAAGGTGCAGTCAATATAGGTTGAGTAGGTGAGAAATATTGAGATGTAGGGCATGTCTATATAGAAAATTAGTGCAGAATAAACTAGGGTGTTATTTTAAAGTACAATAACTAGTCTATACTAACTCCGTCTGGGGACAGGCATTTATTTCCACTCAGAGAGCCTTTGTATGATTTGTGGATTAAGTATGTCTGTCCACACAGGGAGTTAGTACAGAATATTTATTACACTTTAAATGCACACACTAGTTGTTCTGCGCATTAAGTTCCCATATAGAAAAGCCCTTATGCTGAGTGACAGGCCATCTCCAGAAAAGAGGTCTTTTGTGACCTACCAACATTATCTTGCTAACAAATGTGTACTAAAATGAAAAGGGGAAAAATGCATGTGAAAACTTGCACTCCTGTCTTCTCTCTGTAAAACGTATTACCTGCCATAGCCTGTAAAATAGGCCAAACTCCAGCGATCAGATATCTTCTTTCAAGGCTTTTTCCATTACAGCAGTAAATATAGCTATGATTGATATTTGGAACACAATTTTGTATATTGTGAATGTTGGGACTTAAAGAGTATTATTAGACACTAATTGTCATAGCTAATTATGAATTAAATTGTTTGACCCTTTTAATTTCAAAGCAGAGGATAGATATTTGAACATCCTCTTACAGCAACCACATTAAACACTTTTTTGTAATCAGATTTAATAGACAATATGTTTAGGGTACCTTGGATTTTTATTATTTTTTGGGGGGTCCAGATGTTTTATATCCTAACCAATCGATGTTTCAGTAGTCAACATGTCAGAGGGCTACAGTATGCATTTTATAATGCTAATATTTCAAAGAATTATTAGATCAGATTTAGACAAAGCTGAAATCTCAATTTTAAAACCCCAGTAGAGATGGGTTTTGGGGTATAATATACATGGCTTTTGACGATTTTTATCTAAACATCAGTCTCGTTAATTACAAATTAGAGTAGCTGATTAACCACAGCTCATGTGATGAACTCAAAATTAATCGCACTGTTAAAGCACTAGAGTACTTGTACTCTGTTATCATGAAAGTACATAGGGATGTTAAATATCAGCTAACTGAATAGTCGATTAACCTCATGAGTTAAACTAGCCACACGTGGCTAGAGCAGTAGTCTAGTGGCTAAAGCTTCAGAACAGGTTGGACATCATGGCTTTAGAGCCTATAAGTCCACTTAGTGCTGCTCTTCAAAGAAAAAATTGCAGCTCCTGCACCTGCGGCTCTTAAAGGGGCAGCCTGGGGGGGGGGGGGTTTTTTTTTTTTTTTTTTTTGGGGGGGGTCAACAACTTTATGCTAGGCCAGTGTTTCCCAACTGGTGCTCCAATTGCAAAAGCAGGGGTTCTGCGAAGAACCGACATGCCCCCTCTGAAAGAGACATGGCTAGAGTTGCTGTGTCCTGTGCAGACTTCAAAATGGCCGCCTTAAAAGAGCAATGGCTACTCTGCTCTTAAAAGGACAAACTTTTTTTTTTTTTCTCAAAAACTTTTTTTCACTTGGCTCTTTGTGCCGTATCCACCACTATTTTGGCTCTTTGTCTGTAACAGGTTGGCCACCCCTAGGCTAGAGTGTTGGACACCTTGGCTCTAAAGCTTTACACAGTGTTTCATTTTTGAATGCAGGTTTTTTGTACATAACTCTGCACTTGTAAATTCATCTTCCATGGTAGAGATTGTATTATTGTATGAATTGAATTAAAAAATACTTTTTTTTTTACAGTGCAAATACTTAAAATTAAAGTGAGCACTGTACATGTATTTTGTGTTACAACTCAATTTCAGGTTGGACCTCCCTGGTCCAGCACTCTGGGGACCAGGAGTTTGCCAGACCAGGCCACTGGTCCCACTCAGGCCCCCAGTTGCCAGCCCTCTCGGGCTGCCAGCAGCCAAAACGGCTGATTTCCCAGCCATTGGCAATCTCTGTGTCTGGGGCTCTCTGGTGCATGTTGCCAGACTAGAGAGTCCCAGACCAAAGTTATCTAACCTGTGTTTCACAATGTAAAAAACAAAGATATTTAAATTGTATTCTATTTAATAGCATGATTCATTGTGATTAATTTTTTTTAATCAGTTGACAGGCACTCTACTGTTTTGTACGCCTTCTACAACAGGCTTACAGGATCATCAACTTTGCATGATACAGAGTCCTTTTGGATATGGCCTGCAGTACTGTAACATCTCATCACTAGTTCCACTAACCAACAGGATAATGAGGTGACTTAAATCCATACTCCCACCCAAAACACTAGTGTTGATGATTGATCAGATACAGGTAGCCTCACTTATATTCTAAGTCTATATTTACATATGACTTGTATTGTACCTGCCATCTTTAGTATTTCACAAATGTGTTCAGATACTAGAGCTGATAAAGCTGCGGTAGCCAGATTGCTGTATTTCACATTCTTCACGCACACAGTACCGCATTTTACAGACACATAACTTGCAAATGATCAGAAATGACAAATCTGATATGATACATTCCCTGTTCTCCCCCATTTCTGCAAGTGAGACTTTCTACGGAATTGGCTATCCTACATTTCTGACTACTTATTCTAGCAAACACCAGTCACAAACACTCTTCCCAGCCAACTGCTGCTTTTGTTTCACTAGACTTGGGTTGGGGACAATGGGAAAAAACTAAGACAGCAAGTTTTGGCCCGGGCTGTGTAGGAGCTTCATTATAAAACTTCACATCAGAGGGTCCATAGCAGCTTGGCAGAAATTTATTTACACCATTCCAATTACATTACACAAAAGCCTTTGAAGCTGATTGTATTTTTCAGTTACTCAGCCATGAATTTTCAAAGCAGTGGAGGCTACTGATATGAAATATCATCTAAAGACTATATGGTTAATATTTATAATGTAACATATCACATACGAGAGGAAAATAACATTTTAACATACAGCAATCTGCAACCTTACAATCTTTGAGTATGTAAACAAAATGAGTTTTTATATATTTTTCAGTGATAGCATAAAACAGCTCCATATTTCAAACCACTATGAACAAATCTATATTGAACTACATTTACATTTCTTCCCCAGGCACACTGTTTCAGAGGATTAGGATCTCATTAAAATGAGTGTGATACCTGCATATACAATAAACCTTATAGGCCACCCTTTTCCCATCACTGTTATACATTTAGCTTGTAGTATAATTCTCAAGTTTTTATTAGGACAAAATATGAATCACAACAAATCACATGAAAAAATGTCAACGTTTCCCTAAAAAACTGCTTGTAAGATACTAGTGGCTTTTATACTTTGTACCTATGTAGTTCATAGGAAAATAATCTTCTGTTCTGTAGAGTTCAGGCAGATCATATGTGTGCTGTACTGGAGTATGCTTCTGAAATGAGAACATGGGAGAAAAATTAACTTGCCGTTGAAAAGAATTCCATTGGTAATATGTTTAGTCGGGCATAAGTAAGATGTCAATTTGTTGTTATCCTACAAACACAGAATGCATATTATGCACCAAACAGCAGAACTTTTCCCCTTTCCCACACAATGCCTGAGGAAAGACTGGAACTGAAGTGGCTTCCAGAAGTGTCTGTCCTTCTATCAGGGGAAAAATGGGGACGAATGAGAAGGTATGGCCTGAGCTGGTGCAGCTTCTAGTGAAGTTGTACATCTTGGGTTAATACCTGTGTGGCGTTAACTTTCAGTACTGCGCCTCAGAACATGAATCAGCTGACTTGGGCTCATAGGCTGTTAACTACATCCCTTTTCTCGAAAGAGGGATTTAAATTAGACACTTCAAAATTGCAAATGAAGCCGGGATTTAAATTTCCCATGCTTCATTTGCATAATGGAGGCCACGTTTTTTTTCTAAACAGCTTTTTGAAAGAAAAACCGCCACTTAGACAGGGATCGATCGAAAATAAAACCCTTTTTCAATCGATCCCCCTCTATAAAACGGCTGTTTTTCTTTTGAAAAGCCGTTTAAAAAAAACCACGGCTGCTATTATGCAAATGAAGTGCAGGAAACTTAAATCCCAGCTTTATTTGCAATTTCAAAGTGTCTAATTTACATCCCTCTTTCAAGAAAAGGGATGTAGTTTAGAGACAGCCATAGGGATATAAAATTGCAGTATAGGTTTTTGGTCTAGGACTTGGGGCCTGGGTTGTGAGACTCAGAGGGAGGGGTCTCAAAGCCTAGGCTTCAGTCCAAACCTGAACATCTACACTGCAATTTCATAGCACTGTGAACCCCAGTCAGCTGAGGCTGGCAAGCTTTGACTGTGGGTCTCTTATTGCAATATTGCTCTACATCTTGAAACCACCTATGAATTTGATTCCAATCTTCTCATTTCTATTGGTACTAAAACAGAAAATGTGTTGGGGTGCAGGTCATTTTTATCACCCCAATTCTCCACCAGAATTTAGAATGCCAACATTTTCATTCTCAAACCTTTTAGACTCTATTGCTAGGAATTCTCAGTTCACATTCTACTCCAGATCATGGTGGACACTGATGCCTCCCTCTTAAGACTATTCTTTATCTTACGTTTTAAGTATATCGTCATTTGCAGTTTTGGTCAAATCTCCTAGCTTTCATGTCTCAATGTTAGGGAGCTAATGAGCCATTAATACAACTTAACTTCACATAGACTCTCCTGGTCTTAAAAGGTGCATGCAGGTTTCTAATCTTCCCCAAATTGTGCTTTTTAGTGAATTTGCTCCTTTATTTAAAGCCATTCTCTTGCAATGATTTGTATCTTCATTATTCCTTTTCAGTGTGCTACCAAACAGCCCACTCAAAGACTGTCTAAAACATTTGAAACTAATATGACGCAATAGTTAATTTCCACAGTTCTCTACTGGTTCATCTTCTGCAATCCAGACTGATTTCCAAAAAGTTGTGAACAGACCACTTATAGATAGCTAGACCATATCATCTGAGTGCATGCTCCTTCACCACCACCAATCTGAAGTACTAAACCAGCCCCTCCACGCACCTACTTACCTTCTGTCCACTCATCCAGCAGGCTTATTCAAAGGTTTGGTCTTGCAACTACAGTTGGAACTCGTGGTCTGGCACCCTCAGGATCTGATCAGTTCCAAATGAGGGAGTTTGCCCGACCAAGGGCAATGCAGCCAAGCTCTCCTGGGGGCTGCCAGCCACCTAGCTGGGCTCCCCTCCTGAACGCTGGCACTGGGCTTTGCTCTCAGCCCCAGCTGGACTCCCAGCTGCCAATCCGTCTGCACCTCAGTCCTGCACCCAGCTGCACTCCCATCTGCCAGCTCCTCCACCACTGGGGTTTTCTGGTCCAGCAACATCCAGGCTTTGTCTACACTACACGTTTTTGCAGCAGAAAATATGCTAATAAGGGACTCATTAGCATAAGTTGAGATCTCATTAGCATATTTTCTGCAATTTCTTTTTGCACAAAAAGAAGCAGTGTAGTCATTTCTGTTTTGTACAAAAACCCCGGGAGAGGCATAAGGATCTTGCACAAAACAGAAGTGGCTACACTACTTCTTTTTGCACAAAAAGAAATGGCAGAAAATATGCTAATGAGATCATGGCTTATGCTAATGAGTCCCTCAGCATATTTTCTGCTGCAAAACGTGTAGTGTATACGTAGCCCCATGGTCCTGCTGGATCACAGTTGTTGCCAGACCTGAGAGGTTCAACTGTATTCATTCATGGGGGTTGCGCTCTCTAATCCTACTTCAATCTAGAACACTTTGCCCTACCTCCAAAACTATTACTTGCATGTTAAGATGTTTTCCTTGCAACTAAAAGCCTGCTATTTTTTTGATGCTGCATATTTAGAATCACTCAGAAATAGGATCAGAAGGAACCTTGATAAGTCATCTAGTCCAGTCCCCTGCATTGAGGCAGCATTTAGTTGTAGACAAAGTTCATTGCCTCTTTAATGAGTCTCCTGCAGCTGTTTACAGCACATAATATTAAAACACCAATTTAATTATTTAGCAAACTTAAGTTACTAACCAATCAGGATGCCTTTACTATTTTATTAACCAACTGCAGCTGATAAGTGTCACTGTTCTAGGCCTTCGCTGAGAGTTGTTTGTCTAACCTGTTCTTCAAAACCTCCAATGATGGTCATTTGTTTCAGTGCTTAACTATCCATAGACACTAGGAAAAACTCAATTGTAACATAAATCTACCTTCCTGCAATTTAAGATCATTACTACTTGTCCAGTCCTTAGGAGATAAGGAGAACAATTTATCAGACTCCTGTTCATAAGAATCTTTTACATACACACTTTCACATCCCTAATTCAAGTAATGGGGTAAATGGTTAAACTGATTAACCTGAATTCATTGGTTAATGTTCTTGGGTATGTGGGGAGCTGGCTTCTGAGTAGTTCCTGCTGCCCCACACTGCTGCCTTTGTGGTGGAAGCTGGTACACACAGCAAGCTGATTTAAAAGCTTTCTTCCCCCCAGCAATATTACATTGACACATTTATTGTATGAGCCATTCTAACCCCCCTTTGCATACTTTTTGCAGTGCTCTTTTCTAGGAAGTCATTTCCCATTTTTCTGTTTGTGTACAGGAAACCCCTGCCTTACAACAGCCCGAGTTGCGCACCCCCTTCCCACTGACAACCATTTTTGTAAGTGTGGATAGGGCCCAAAAACCCCAACTTACGTCCTCGTCCCGCATTTACAATGGTGCATGGCGCCTATTGTAAATGCAGGTTCGAGTTACAATGCCCTCGACTTGCGGCACTTCCCCAGAACTGATTGTGTTGCAACTTAGGGGACGCTTGTAATTGATTGTTCCTTCCTAAGTGTAGTACTTTGCATTCGTCCTTACTGAATTACATCATATCAATTTTTAGACAATTTTTCTAGTTTAAGATCATTTTGAATTCTAATCCTGTCCTCCAAAGTGTTTGCAACTCCCTTCAGCTTGGTGTCATCCGCAGGCTTTTAAGTCTATGCCATTATCAAAATAATTTGATACTGAATTAGAACTAGACTCGGGACAGATCCCTGTAGGTTCCCACTCAATCTGTTCTTCCAGCTTCACTGTGATCATTGATAACTATTCTGAATGTGGTTTTCCAACCAGTGTGTATTCCCCCTGTCAGGAGATGCCAGATGGAATTATCTGTGAGGTCTAAACTCAGACGCACAAAATTTAGCATCCCAGCAGTGCAGGTTCAACTCTTAGAGCTTATGAAGTAGATAAAATGAGCCTTTGTAAAACAGTGTTTTGCATAACCACTGAGGATTGACACTTTGTGAGAATTTTCTTTTTTGGCCAAGAACATTGGAGAAATTAAGTGTATGAGGGAGGGGGCCCTGGCAGTGATGATGATGAAGCCTGAATTTGATTCAGTAGAATATAGGGAGACAAAGGAAAAAGGCAGGTAAGAATGGAGTTAGAAGAATAGGCAGGGAATATCACCTTAGTAGCTGCAGGTTGGATAGGCCAGAAGAAAAGTGAGGGTGGTGGACGTCACATGGCAAGCTGCAGCACTAAGTACTAGAAATGTGAGGACTTGAACAGGTTTGGAGATTTCTAAATGCCAGCTTTTCTGTGCAGAGTTATGGCTGATGCAGTAGTATGAAGATTCAGTGTGGGACAAGGGAGGTGCCTGGATCAAAGGCTAGGGGTAAGGGAAGGTGTGAGGTAATCAGAACCAGAAAGGCAAAGGGCTGGGAGGCAAGATGCATTTAGACTTAATCTGTGGGGAAAAAATCAGCTAGAGCAGTGTTTCTCAAACAGGTTTGCCTTGTCCCGGGCCCCACCACCAGCCAGAATCCTCACCCACTTCCCACACCCCAACCTAATAAGTGAGGGATGGGGCAGGAAAGTGAGTGACGGAAGGGGCTGGAACAAGTGGGGAGGGGGCAAGACAGAGGCTTGGTGAGTAACATAAATCAGTGGTTCCCAACTGCTTGCCTGCAGACCAGTGTTAGTCTGCGGACAACTGGCTGTTGGGCCAGGGTGGCTTCCTACAGAGCTTAAGCCAGCTGTTCACGGCAGCTCAGCTCTGGCAGCGTGGTGGCTGAGGCAGTGGCAGGAGGCGGGGGATGGGGGAGGCAGAAAGAATCTCCCTCCTCCCTCTGATGCACTTGGGGAGAGAAAAGGGGCACAAAGGAGAAGGGAGTGCACACACTGCCCATGGCCACTCGTAACAGCCACACTTCCTAGGGAGGCAGCCTCACTCTAGGGAGTGCGGGGGGTGGGGGGGCAAAGGGGTGTTGTGTGAGCGTAGTGGGATCACGGGGTCAAGAGGGTGTTGGCATGGGCTGTAGGGGTCAGAGGTTAAAGGACATGGGGTGCACAGGGGTGGGGGTCAACGGGTGTTAGGCACTAGGGAGCAAGGAGCTGGGTTAGGGCTAGGCAGACAGGTAACA